GATTCACGTTGCCAGTTTCCCTCCAAACAAACAAACAAAAGTCTGTGCCTTTCTCTACATTGCTAACTGCCTTTTAATGCTTTTTAAAACCCACCTGAAGGCCGGGCGCGGTGGCTCAAGCCTGTAATCCCAGCACTGTGGGAGGCCGAGGCGGGTGGATCACGAGGTCAAGAGATAGAGACCATCCTGGTCAACATGGTGAAACCCCATCTCTACTAAAAATACAAAAAATTAGCTGGGCATGGTGGCGTGTGCCTGTAATCCCAGCAACTCAGGAGGCTGGGGCAGGAGAATTGCCTGAACCCGGGAGGCGGAGGTTGCAGTGAGCCGAGATCGCGCCATTGCACTCCAGCCTGGGTAACAAGAGTGAAACTCCGTCTCAAAAAAAAAAAAAAAAAAAAAAAAAAAAACCCACCTGAGGAGAACCCCCTGATGCTGCCTCTCACATGCCTGTAGGCCCCTATCAAGTGATATAGGTCTTTTTATTCCTTTAGCTTTACTGGGACATAATTGACAAATAGGCATGGTCTATATTTCAGGTACACAACTCGATGTTCTGCTATATATATATGTTGTGAAATGATCACCATAATCAAACTAGTTAGCATTCCCAGAGTCTCACATAGCTCTTTCAGATCAGGAGCTCCCGCTAGTTCCTGTATCCTGAGCAGGCACTGGGATCCCTGTGACACTCAGTGCTGTGGAGACGGAGCCCAGAGGGGATAGTTGATCCCATGCCTGGTTATGTGAGGTGCATCTCTGCTGGCAGAGGCCACCTGCTGGAGAAAGGCCCTACTGTCCCAGGCCTGAGGCCCTGGCCCCAGGCTCTTGATGCTTTTGTGAGGTTCTGGTCTCTTTCTGTTTTGGTAAATTGGTCTCTGGCATGAGAATCCGTCCATGTCCTCTCTCACCCCTGGCTTTCTAGAAACTGCATCTATATTTAGCTTTGTTGCCCCACCCCTACCCCCCTTCCTGAGCTGAGGTATAAATGCCAACCAACCAGAGGATGACAGGGTCCAGGCTCAGAGAGCAGCTGAGGCAATGGGCTCTCATGGAAACCTGAAGCTCTTGTTTCTCAAATCCAAACCAACTCACAGGCAATTAGTATTGGGAGGAAGGGAGGGTAGGGTGTGGACCTTCAGGACAAAGCACAGACCCAGGGCTGGGCAGTCTGGCTTCCCTGATTCCTCATGGGCAGACAGTAAATAACAGCCACACATGTGGAAGTGTCCTTAGAAGGCGGGAGGACAGGGAAGAACAGGACCTCTGAGCCAAGAGGATCCGTGGGCCAGTAAACAGTCATGTTGGGCCAGACACACCTGAAAGGCCAGCTCTGGGATCTGAGTTCCAGGAAGCCCTGGGTCTGGCTGTTGGAGCTGGTGAGCGAGTTTTCTGTATGTACCTTGAACAGTGACCCCACACTCCAGAGCATAGTGGTGCTGTCTTCTTTTTCAGTGCCCTTGGGCTTCATGTGACAACTTTTAAGCAGAAGCAAGGGTACCAAACTTTTTTTTTACCCTCAGTACTTTCTGTTTTATTTTTTATTTTTAGAAATAGGATCTCACTCAGTCACCCACACTGAAGTGCAGTGGCGCAATCTTGGCTCACTGCAGCTTTGACCTCACCGGCTCAAGTGATCCTTCCACCTCAGCCTCCCGAGTAGCTGGGACCACAGGCGCACGCCACCATGCCTGGCTAACTTTTGTATTTTTCGTGGAGATGAGGTTTCACCATGTTGGCCAGGCTGGTCTCGAAGTCCTGTGCTTAAGCAATCCTCCCACCTCAGCCTCCCAAACTGTCGAGATTACAGGCGTGCTCCCGCCACTGTGCGCAGTCCCAGTACTTTCTCTTAACTCAGTTCTGCACTGTTTCCTCTTCCTATTCCTAGCCTCATTCCTGTTGTCAGGCAAGCGGGGGCTGAGTAGCAATCTCCAACCCTCCTGTGTAGAGCTGTCTGAGATGGAGCTTCATATTTAAAGCAACATGAGAAAGATGAGAGAAAGAGGGTGAAGCAGTGGAATCTCTTTTCAGGCAACCCTGCAGCTGGGGGAGCTGCCCCCCAGTGAGGGTCAAAGACAGGCTCCCTGGAGCCTGGGGAAGGACAGACAGGCCCCCAATAGGCCCAGGGCCACCTCCCTTCTGAAGCTTCAGGAAGTTCTCAGCCTCAGGCCCGGTCTGGCGAGAGGCTTTGGCTCACTGGAGGTGGTGGCTGGGCTAGGCTGACGATGTGCTGTCTTGGTGCCCATGGCCTTGCAGGAGTAACAGGAAGAGCTCCAAGCCAGACAAGACAGCCAGCGGGAGGACAGAGCAGCCCCTCAGCATGCAGAGCCAAATGCCTGATTGTTAAAAAAAAAAAAAAAAAAAAAAAAAAAAGGAAATGAGAGTTTCTTCTGAAATAGAAACTTCTGGTCCTTGAGTAGGTTTAGAGAATTACGGGCATTCTGAGGCCTGAGCCTCTGTAGTGACGGATGAAGCCTCAAAAACCACAAGGTTGGTGGGAGGGACACTGATCTCATGTCCGGGAATATACAGATATGCCCTGTGGGGATGATTGTATCTCATTTCTGGGGAGCCCTAACAGTTCCCAAGGTGCTTGTTTATTCTCTTATCCATCCAGGAAAGCAGCAGTAAACAAATAGAGGTGAAAGGCAAAAGGCTTTTTGTTTCTGTGAAGATGGAAAAAACCTGGCATATTGTCTCTGGGTGGCTACTGCAGGGGCAGGACTGGGCTTGGAGCTTGGGAGCCCCTGATAGCCTGGTGCTGTTCCATCCTGACAACCCCGGCTCTGCGGTAGGCCCCTTGGGTGATGAGGGCCATCACAGCAGGGTACCAGAGCCAAGGTCCAAAACCAACAGCAGCTGCTTCCTTGACTGCTGGGTCATTCTTGGCCTTGAGCCATCCGGGGCTGTTTGGGGTGTCAACTTCACTGAGCACTTTAAGTTTCTGGGGTTGAAAACAATCCAGGAAGCTAAAGACTAAGCCTCAGATCCCTAAGACTTCCAGACCTAAGAGGCCACACTTCTTGCTGAATATCCTCACCCGTAAGTTTCTTAACCTCAGTGGTCTCATGTATAAATGGAAGGAGCTACACTGACCGTCTCTGGGGCCCTCTGTGGGTCTGAGTCTGGGCTGCCTGGGACTGCCGGCAAAGCCCTACTCTGGTCTCTTCTCTGTCCCGTGGGCCAAGTCCGTGTGGTCTCCAGCTGTCCATTTGCTGGAGCTCGCCTGTCAGTTGATGAGTGCAGTTGCCCTCAACCCCGTGTGTGTGCTAGTGAACGTGAACAGTGACTCATGTTTTACCAAGAATCCTAACTAGTGCCTGGCCTTTGAGCAGATGATGTTAGAAGCTGATCTCCAGGAAGAAAATGTTTGGGGCTGGGCTTTGGCTTCGAAGGCTTGGGCATCTCCACAATCAGCAGTTCCTTGGAAGATGCTACTGCTCATGCAGATAGTGATTCTGCCACCACCTTCCCCCAGCTATGTCAGAAAAGTGGGGCCTACTCCTGCTGGGGCTGGGAGGAGGACAGGGCTCTAGGATGTGGATGATGAGAAGCTTCTAGGGAGATGCCTCAGGGAGGTGTCCTTTATGCAGCCTCCCAAAGTCCACGTGGTGTGTCTGGCAGTGGGAGAGAATGTTAGAGTTAGGAACATGACCCCTTAAACTTAAACACACACACACACACACACACACACACACACACACACACACACACACACAACTTACATAGGCTACAAGGGTACCACCTTTCTAGGTAAGAACACTTCAGTAGTTTTCTGGGGGTTGTTTTGTTTTGTTTTGAGACAGGGTCTTTCTCTGTTGCCCAGGCTGGAGTGCAGTGGCATGATCTCGGCTCACTGCAACTCTGCCTCCTGGGTTCAAGTGATTCTCCTGCCTCAGCCTCCAGCCCCCAGTAGCTAGGACTACAGGCATGCACCACCATGCTCGACTAATTTTTGTATTTTTAGTAGAGACAAGATTTTGCCATGTTGGCCAGGCTGGTCTCAAACTCCTGACCTCAGATAATCTGCCCGCCTTGGCCTCCCAAAGTGTTAGGATTATAGGCGTGAGTCTAGTTTTCTGTTCTTACAGAGCTCCTGCTTCCTCTGCCTTTCAAAAATCCAAGGCCAGGCCTCAGGATTTCCACCTGCTTGTCTGGTCCCTTCTCTGACTGAGCAGGTTCTGGGATGTCTGGAGCTATGGTTTGGCCTTTTCTCCCTTCCCCGTCCACGTCTATCCCTGGAACAGGCAGTGTTCCAGTCCCACATCTCTGGCCTCTAGACGACTTCATGCTGAGACTAGCACCCTTACTTCTCACAGCGGCTCCTTAGATGTTACTGTGCTGGCTACTCCGGAGATTTCAATATTTAAAAAGTTTTTTTTTAGGGAAATGTTCTTGCATATTTCTTGTGTAATTTTTAAAAGAGGAAGGGGAAGAGAGTACTGTCAAAGTAAAAGTAAGTGTAAGGGCTGGGGCGCAGGGGCTCACACCTGTAATCCCAGCACTGCGGGAAGCCTAGGCGAGGGGATTGCTTCAGCCCAGGAGCTCCAGACCAGCCAAGGCAACATAGTGAGACCCTATCTTTACAAAAAAATAAAAAAATTATCCAGCCATGGTGGTATGCACCTGTAGTCCCAGCTACACTGGAGGCTGAAGCAGGGGGATCACTTGAACCTGGGAGGTCCAGGCTGCAGTGAGCCGAGATCATGCCACTGCACTCCAGCCTGGGCTATAAATTGACACCCTTTCTTAAAAAAAAAGACACAAAAATTTAAAAAGGTAAGTACAAGCCACGATGGGAGCTGGGCAGGCAATGAAAGTAGAAGGAGGAATTGCTTGGTGCCTGGTCTAGAGGTGAGAGTAGCTGGCAGCTGGGGTGGGCCCCATGTCCTCTGTTGGAGAAATGGAGACCTGGGGGCCCAGAAGACAGGTCTCTGTGGTCACAGGGAGAGGAGCTGGAAGGTCAGTGACCCAGGGCAGGGTGTGTGCTCTCTTGGCAGGCGAAGCATGAAGCGGAAGGCACTGTTCACCTGCCCCTTCAACGGGGACTGCCGCATCACCAAGGACAACCGGCGCCACTGCCAGGCCTGCCGGCTCAAACGCTGTGTGGACATCGGCATGATGAAGGAGTGTGAGTGTCCAGGGGCTGGCCGGGGTTTGGGGCTGAACTGGAGTCAGGGAAAGGCCTTGGCCACTCTCCTGCAGGTTTGGGAAGAGGTCTGCCTGCCCTTCCTCTGTAGCTGCCAGCATCTGGGGCCAGGGCCTCAGTAGGACCAGCAGCTGGTGGCAGGGCAGCTGGAAGTCCAGGGTCAGATGCACTCAGCGGCCCTGTGTGCCTCTTGAGGACCTGTGTGTTGGTGTCAGAGGTGCTGGAAGGGCCCTTCCAGAGTGGGGCCTGAGAGGAAAGAGAGGCAGGACACTGCCTTCAAGATCCCCTTCTACTCCCTGGTCAGGGTTTTCCTCCAGGATGTCATCCTATTCTTGCAGCTCCCTGTTCCCTGGATCTAGAGGACAGAATGAGGTTCGAGGACCCCCAGGTTCTCTGGGCTTCAGGAGAGAGGGCTGCTGTGGGTTGGGAAGGGCAGGAGTAATGGGGAGAATTCATATTTAGACGATAGCTGGGATCCGCATCCTGTCCTACCCCAGTCTGCCAGCCTCTCTGGCACCTTGGGCAGATCTGAGGGCTTGTGCCAGGGGGAGACCAGGAAGAAAGAGTGTGCAAGGGGAAGCACTGGGATCTAGGGTGACCCTCTGAATCCAGATGGAGAAAGAGGAGTGATTCTATAGGACTTCCTTTCCCACTCTGGGGCTGGAGAAGACCGACATGGCAGACTTACACACATGTTCTCACCCACCACTGAAAACAACACTTGAACCTTGCATCGGAGCTGTAGTACAGTGATTTGGTAACTAGGGTAGCCACTGAATTCAGCAGATGCTGGGAGAGCCAGCCAGGCCTCTGGGCTGGAGCAAGGGCACGGGGCCAGCTGGGCATGGGTGCTCTCTGCACGCTCATTCCTTGCTCACCTTCCCTTGCTCACTCCTGTCTGCTGTCTGTACCCAGACCCCCACTGGTCCCAGGATAGAACCCAGGCGCTGCTAGCTGTGGGCCCGAAGAGTCAGGGTCCGGGTTGGGGGTGTTGCTCAGATGCAGGCTTTCCTGGCTATGGGACTGTTTTGGGTGGCGAGGGGTGGGGAGAGGTCAGGTAACAGGAAGATGTGTCAGGGACAGAGGAAACATCACAGGACAGGGCTTAGAGGATGGGGAGTTTCTCCCTTAAAGGGAAAATAATTCTCCATTGTTGGGACACAGGCAGAGCTCAGGCCCTCATCTTGGGCTTCCTCTGTGAGCCTTGACCTAGGCTCCTCTTCTGTGGGTCACGACTCCTCCTCCTGATCCGGCAGCTCCCCAGCCAACACTGGCAGCCCTGGAAGGAGTTTCCAGGGCTGTGGTTCCTCCGCACCCCCACAGGAGCGTGCAGGCCTGGACACGCTGGTCGCTCCTACTGCGGTCCCTGCCACACCCTAGCTCCTGTGTTTATCCTGGAGAGAGTGAGAAAGTGGAGGCTGGAGGCTTGGGTGCCTTATGGGACTTCACACACATTCTCAGTGGGCCCTGCTCAGGGCGAGGCACTAGGGTGGGCACCAACAAGGTGTACTCAGCACAGCCCCATCTCGGCAGAGAACACGGCCTCTTCAAGGCAGGGAGCCTGGTTTCTAAGGCTCCAGCCAACCAGGAGTGGCATGGGGTTCCACTGCTGCGGCTCATAAGGCACTGCCACAGGTGCTCCCCTCAGGACCAAGCTCAGTGAGGCCCAAGAGGCCCCTCTCCCACCTCAGGAGGAGGGGGATGTCCTACTGACTTAGAATAGGAAGAACATCTGAGAGTCAGACAGGTAAAGATCTCAGCTGGGGTCAGAAAGAGAGCTGGTGACAAGCTGGGACCAGAATCAGACTTGGTGTCCCCTCCTACCTGCTTCCTGTTCCCATAAACAGCACTGCATCCATGCTGAAGAGCAGCCCCAGCCTGGGATGCATCAGGGGGCCCTGCACAGGAACACCCTACCACGTGGTGGGGACCTAGCAGCCCAGAAGCAACATCCACCCCATCCCTAAATCAGCACTGTGCCTCAGCCACCCCCACCCCAGCTAGTTCTCCCCTGTGGAGCCCTGTGTCCCGGTCCTGCTATATGTCTAAGGCAGCTTCTTGCCCACATCACTCTCCTCATCCCAGTGCAGGGAGCGGTACTGAGTTCTAAATGGGCCGGTGGAGTGGAGATCCAATTAAAACAGAAACATCCTGGTGCTTTTTACTGCCCCAAAGGGAAGATCGTCCAAGAAGAGGCATCATTCCCAGCCTCAGGTTAGCCCAGCTTCAGGAGGCCTCACCAGCGTGAAGTCCCTCAGCCTCAGAACCCTAGGAGAGCTGCTCATTTCTCATCTGGGCTGGCTTTTGTCCCCACGGCATAGCGTCCCAGAGACAACTGAATGTCTCAATATTTGTAAAACCACAGGAAGGAAGCTGAAAGCCCAGGCTCCTGCTGGCCAGGCGGGGAGGTGGGCCTTCCATAGAGGAGGCACAGGAAGGGAAAGGATGAGGACAGAAACCATGTGTATTGACCTTCTGCCATGTATCGGATCCCATGTCAGGCACATGCATTTTCTTCTGAAATTCTCACAGCACTCCCTGACTATGTAAATACTTTTATTTTTTCAGTAGCTAAGGCAGCTCAGAGGAATTAAAATATCATGGCTCTGAGTTAATAAGATAATGGTATCAGCGTTCATTCTAATCTAGGTCTGTCTGCTTCTGAAGGTCAGGCTTGGGGGCCACACCCAAGGCAGCCTTTCGTGCCCCCAGTGGGTCAGAACTCACTCCAATGTGCATTTCCAGGCACTTCCACATACTCTAAGAGATGGGCTGAAGAGAGCTTCGTTCCCATCGAAGACTCATTTTCTCTCTTTTTCATTCTTAGTTGACTTTATACCCTGGGAACCCAAGAAATTTTATAACTGAGTTCTTGCTTTTGGCTTATGCTATACCTGTCCTGCACGGAACCACACATTATGGTAACTTGTTTGATGTTTTTACAGACGTATGTCTTTCCTTTCTGGTGTTAGCATAGTACCTGGCACATAGTAGGTGCTCAATAAATGTGTGGAATAAATGAACATTAGCTCCTTCTTCTTTGTCTTGGTGTATCTTCCACAGGTCTGTGGATCAGTAAGATTCTCCCAAACCTGATCATGTCTGTGCCATTCATTTGGAAAAATTTTATGTCCTCTTCCTGTGGTTGTTCTTAGGCCATCCTTGGCATCTTGAAACGTTTTGAAATTGTTTATGTTGCAGATCTTGACTTTGTCAGGGAGAGAACATGTCTTGCATGGGAATAACTGTGCAAAATTATTTTCACTCAGCAAGGAACTTAGAAGGAAGTCAAAAAACCTTCTGAGCCAGCCATGTACGTTTTACAAAGTCCACATGCCAAAGCTCATGCACTTCAGATGCCTAATCATCAGAGAGCCCAACACTCTTTCAGAACCTGCTTACTCTTATTCCAGGCTTTTTACCTTGAAACGTGTATTCCTATATGACAGTAATGACATTTTAGGTTCAATTCATTGAAAAAATGATAAGAAATTTCCTGTGAAATTAAAAAACTCTTTAAACAAATTATTTTATAAATCATAGCACGTTTGCATATGTGCAAGACTTCAGACTTACTCAGTCCTCAAGCAATGTTGCCTTGCAGAAAGCTTGAGCCTGTTTGAAACTGATGGATCTCAGCATTTCTTCCTCTGTTAACTGCATAGAAGATGGTGGTTACTACTTGATGCAAGAGGCTGGGAGGAATAATGTTTAAACTTGAACCTTCATTGTCTCTTTAAAGTAGGTAATTTGCAAGCTTTGTGACATAATTTTATTTCACACTCTTCAGATGGATTGGAACACAATGCGTGTCAAAACTCCATGGCTGAAAGTCAAGGTCTGCTTATAACCAGTTGTAATCAGACACAGTAGAGAGCAGTGGCTAGGACCTTCCACTCCAGAGCCAGACTGCCCAGGTCTAGATACTAGTTTCACCACTGTTTGCTGTGTGACTTTGAGCAAGGTATAAAGCCTCTATGGGCCTCATCTATAAATAGGAATAACAACAGCACTTGCTTTAAAGGGTTGTCATGAGGACTAAATATGTGAGTTAATATACAAAAAGCTCTTAGAATAATGCCTGGTAGATAGAAAAACTCTACACATGCGATCCAGTGTTATGAATATTTTCTTTTTATTACAACAGACTTGATCACTAGAACTTCTAGCTCCCAACAGATCAGAAGTAAGTCTTAGCCAGGAGAAAGGCACACTTCCAGAGGCAGACACCAATAAGAAGAGACAACGTGTAGCTTCACAGACAGATGGACCCTGGAAGCAAGAAAAGTAGCCCAAGAACTCCAAAGCCCAGCACACCCAGCTGCACAGTGCAGGGCAGACAGCCTCAGACAATGCCGAGGCCATAACCTTGGCCTGCAATGTTCTATCATTATTCAGAATGATACCTCTGAATCATCCAGGAAAGGTTATATGACGTTAGAAGTGTTCCGTTACAAGGTTTTCTGTCTTGAAAATGTTTCCATAACAATTGTTTCAATAAAAGAGGTCAGCTCTGCTCAGCTCTCTGGTGTGCCAGGTATCATTCCCTATCTTGCAGGGGACAAGCAGGACTGGAGTACTCACTAGCCTTTCCCGAGCCAGGAAAAGGATTTGCACAGTTGGTGTGATCTGTGTGGATGCACTTGATGTTTGGTGTCAGACTACTGAGCAGGCACCACGGCTAGGTAGCCCCTCTGGGCTAGCCTTTAGGACGGAAACAGAAGAATTGTAAGACAAAGTCTGGGCACGGTGGCTCATGCCTGTAATTCCAGCATTTTGGGAGACTGAGGCAGGTGGATCACCTGAGGTCAGGAGTTTGAGATTAGCCTGGCCAACATTGTGAAACCCTGTCTCTTACTCAAAATACAAAAATAATTAGCTGGGCATGGTGGCGCGTGCCTGTAATCCCAGCTACTCCCAAGGCTGAGGCAGGAGAATTGCTTAGAACCCGGGAGGTGGAGGTTGCAGTGAGCCGAGATGGTGCCACTGCACACCAACCTGCGCAACAGAGCAAGACTGTCTCAAAAAAAAAAAGAGAAAGAGAGAGAATTGTAAGGCATGGACCCTGCCCTTAAGTAACTTGTAATCTAGAGAGACCTTGAACTTCTTGGGCTGCCTCCATAGGTACGGATTGAAACCTGCGCTAACCATGAGTCTTACAGAACAGAAGACAATTGGGTGCCAGTGTGTGTGGGAAAGACTAAGTATGTGGCAGACATAAGAAATGAGGCTCAGCAGGTGCAGAAAAGACGAGGCTCGGTGCAGATCAGGGCAATTGAGAAATGCGTCATGGAAAAAGACGGCTATGATGTAGGCCCTGAAGAACTGATAGAATTCATACAGGTATTAGAGACAGGATACCCGACTGGACGCACATCCAGCACAAGTGGAAATGCAGGGGCAGGCGTGACCAGGTCGTGTTCTCAGGTCAGCAGCAATGCCAGCGTGCCCAGAGCAGAGGCTGTGTCCAGAAGCACTGAGAAATGAAGTCAAGAAGTTAGGAAGAAGCCAACATTAGTGTGGACGTGGTCAGCAGTAGGCTCTGGGAGAATATCTGGGCAGGAGAACGGCATCACAGAATCACAGGAAAGTTAGCAAAGTCCGGTCAGGCTGAGCTACATGCCTGCAGACACCATGGTATGGCTGGCAGGAACAGGCCTCCCTAACTCTGGTCTCCAGGTGAGCAGGAAAGACCAGACACCTAATCTTGGGCTCCCCAGGTGAGGGCTCACACCGTTGCCTTCCCTGGATGCTCCCTGCCCCTTCCTCTTCCACCCTGCCTGACCTGGTAGAGTCTGTGCAGACACCTGCAGTGGGAGGAGAGTTGGCAGCTGTTGGGGAAGGTGAGTCAGTCGCCTGGGCGTGGTCTCCTCCCAGGTTCTCCATGGAGGGAAGCTCCATCTCTTGCAGTAGCGCTCCCTTTCCTGCCATGCCTGTGGCACTGGCTGCCCACTCCCACCCATCATAGGCTCTTCCTCACCCCCACCAACTTCTCTCGTCCTCCTCCTACCTGAGGGCCTGGGCCAATGGACCTTTCTCGAAGCCTGGAACTCACCCACCCTGGGCTTCTGGTTCCTTTCCCTGCTCTTGTGAAACTCCCCGGTTCTGTGGGCAGATGCCCTGGCAGCACCAGCACCAAGCAAGTAGCTACAGGCTGAGGGCCCCGGTGCCCACTCCTGCCGTCAGCGCTCAGCAAGCCACAGCCAGGAGGTCTGTTTGCCCAGCAGCCGTTCCAGGCACCTCTGCTCCCAGCATCCCCCTGCCACCCCCGCAGCTGTCCCAGCAGAGGGAGGCAGGCGCAGACCCCTGCGCCAGCCTGAAGGTGGTGTCGGGGCACTCTATGGCCCGACGCCCTGACTAGTGGCTGGAGAGAACTTCCAAGATTAGAGCTGCAAGTCCTCACCCTTTGAGGCCTTCCAGAGGACTTGCAAACTTCCAAGGACAGAAATGTCAAAGCTGTAGGGCTGGAGGAGGGGTGGTTTTGCAGAGAACCGAAGAAGCCTAGTCTTTCTATATTCCAGAGTCCCAAGTCTGGAAACTTGGATGTGGAGATAGCCATGTAGCAGAGCCAACTCCACATCTCCTCACGTCCAACACTGTGAGAGTCCACACAGTTACTCTGGCACCCTCTCTCCACCCCGGCGTCTCCTTCCCTGCCGTGGAACATGGGGGCGGGGAGAGAAGAGAACTAGCATTTAGTGAGCATCTGCTCTGGGCCAGGCATCGGTCGACCCTTTGAGGCAGGTGTTATCACTTCCCTGACCTGCACATGAACACACAGAGACACACACATGTCTTATGGGGAAACGTACAAGAAAGGAACCTTGGAAGAGCATATTTGATCCAAACCTCTCACTTTACAAACAAGAGAACAAAAGCCCAGAAAGTTTGCCGAAGGTCCCAAAACTCATTCTTGAGAACCCCGACTCCCTGAAGCCCAGAACATTCCATCTCTCAAATCTTCTTTCTCTTCTTGCATGTGCCTTCCTTTTCACCATAGCAAACCCAATGTTTCTTCACATAGTGGAGTAGGAGTCCCCATGGCAAGAGGACCCCCGAGGGAGCCCTGAGTGTTGAAGCCCCTCCTATCTTGGGCCTTTACCCACAACCGCAGGAGGAAGGTTTCCTGGAGGAGCTGCTGGCCGGCCCTCCTGACTCCCCTCCCGCCCCACAGTTATCCTGACAGATGAGGAGGTGCAGAGGAAGCGGGAGATGATCCTGAAGCGGAAGGAGGAGGAGGCCTTGAAGGACAGTCTGCGGCCCAAGCTGTCCGAGGAGCAGCAGCGCATCATTGCCGTCCTGCTGGATGCCCACCATAAGACCTATGATCCCACCTACTCTGACTTCTGCCAGTTCCGGGTACGTCTGCGTGCTGGGAGAATGAGCCAGTCCAGAGGAGAAGCACTAGAGGAGCTGGGGCCCAGGGAGTATGGACAGAGGGCAGGGAACATCCTGAACAGAACTGGGGTAGGGATAGAGGCTGCTCTGCTCCCAGGCACTGGGAGGCCTCACCTCTGGAGACCTTCCTCAAAGCCATTCCTGTCAGAGATCAGTGCCAAGGTAGGAAGGCGACCCCAAAATGTGGGTCTGAGACCCCATCTTTCCCTTCCAGCCTCCGATTCGTATGAATGATGGTGGAGGGAGCTATCCTTCTAGGCCCAACTCGAGACAGACTCCTAGCTTCTCCGGGGACTCCTCCTCCTGCTGCTCAGATCACTGTATCACGTCTCCAGGTAAGCAGGACTTCAGTCCTCCATAAGTAAGTGGGCAGGGGTGAGGAGTCCACCCCACCTGCCCTGGGGCTGCTGGATGGAAGGAGGCGGAAAGCTCCCTAATGGAAACTTACATACATACTGTGTACCATTCAGTGTCCTCAAAACAGGCCCTCTGTTACAGAAGGGGTGACTTGCCCAAGGGCCCACACTGGGCAAGAGGCCAAGCTGGGATTCTAGCTGTGCAGAATCCTGGGCCAATGCTCTTTTCTCTAAGCCAGGCTTCAGCCCGTGGCCCCCTCCCTGGAGGTAACTGTCTTCCTTTAAGTGATATTTTGATCCTGGGCCCTTTAGAAGGTGAAATTTGGAGTGGAAAGGAGAACATGTTGGTCCCAATGCAGCCCACCCTTCACCTGAGCCCTGGGGACCACTCTGGCCCTGGAGGACATGTCCTCAGCAGACAGTCTGGGAGGCATCATGTTTTTGTGATTTTTGTATTTTTTTTTTGTTTGTTTGAGATGGAGTCTCGCTTTGTTGCCCAGATTGGAGTGCAGTGGTACAGTCTCGGCTCACTAAAACCTCCACCTCCTGGGTTCAAGCAATTCTCCTGCCTCAGCCTCCTAAGTAGCTGGGACTACAGGCACACACCACCACATCCAGCTAATTTTTGTGTCTTTAGTAGAGATGGAGTTTCACCTGTTGGCCAGGATGGTCTCAATCTCCTGACCTCGTGATCTGCCCACCTCGGCCTCCCAAAGTGCTGGGATTACAGGTGTGAGCCACCACGCCCAGCCTCAGAATATAATTTTTAAAGGCTGCATACTCTGGAATACAGTAATGTACCTAAATCCCCTACCAATGGATATCTGGATTATTTCCCAGCTTTTCAGTAAGGTAACAGTATACTTGTAGCTAAATATTTACACTATCTGAAATTTTCCCTTACAATGAATTCCAGGAAGTGGGATTACTGGTCAAAGAGTACACATAATTGTTTGACTAATGTCAAATAGTTTTCTAGATTACCTGCAGTAATGCACATCTCCTTTGGCACCCCAGCCCTCACAGGTATTGCCTAATTTCCTGCATCTTTACAAATACTGGCATCAATATTTAAACATTTTTGTTTCTAGTTTATAGGTGAAAAGTATAGACATTCTACATTGCAGTTCTTTGATCATTAGCAAGGTTGAACATTTTTTTCCATGGGTTGATGGGTCCCAAATTCATTTTTGATTGAGATCTGCAGGAACAGCACATGGTCTGCTTGAGGAAGTCTCATTGCTCTGAGTGTCTCTGTCTCTTTGATTTTACTGCCTCATCCTGCTGAAAGAGACAGAGAGAATCCCACAGGGAAGCCTGGGGCTGAAGGGTAACCTCTGGAGTCACTGTGGGATTCCCAGCTGGCTTTGCTGCCAGGGCACACTGGGTCTTTGCAGGGGCTGGCAGGAGAGGGCCTGGTCCAGGTATCCTTAAATAGCTCCTTCTCTTCCCTCATGTCCCCCAGACATGATGGAATCATCCAGCTTCTCCAACCTGGATCTGAGTGAAGAAGATTCAGATGATGGTTCTGTGACCCTGGACCTATCCCAGCTCTCCATGCTGCCCCATCTGGCTGACCTGGTCAGTTACAGCATCCAAAAGGTCATTGGCTTTGCTAAGATGATCCCAGGATTCAGGTGAGAAACCTCTGCAATGTCTGGGGAACAGAGTCAGAGTCCTAGACTGAGCTAGAGGAAGGGTTGAAGATCAACCATCCACCGTTTGTTTCTTTATTTTGTATTTTTTTAACCGGAGTCTCACTCTGTCACCCAGGCTGGAGTGCAGTGGCGTGATCTCGGCTCACTGCAACATCCACATCCCAGGTTCAAGCAATTATCTTGCCTCAGCCTCGCAAGTAGCTGGGACCCGCCACCACGCCTGGCTAATTTTTGTATTTTTAGTAGAGACAGGGTTTCACCATGTTGGCCAGGCTAGTCTCAAACTCCTGACCTCAAATGATCCACCTACCTTGACCTCCCGAAGTGCTGGGATTACAGGCATAAGCCACCGCGCCCAGCCTCCACTGCTTCTTTAAAAATAGAGTTTCAGGGCTACCCTAGACCCGCTAAATCAGAATCTCTGGCGTAGGCCCAGGAATCTGTTTTTAGGAAGTGCAGCCTGTCCTGTGTTACTCTGCAGGCCAGCACTGGAGAGCTAGTCCATCCCCGCACTTTCTGGATGATGCTGTGAAAGCCCAGAGAGGTCCAATGGCCAGCCAGTATCCCTTCCTGGTGTTGCAGCCAGCATGTCAGAGCCAGGCATAGAACTCCCGGTTCACTGCTGTGTTCACTCCAGCTGGCTTGACTACAATCCTCATATTATCTCTTTAAATTCATCAATATGATTCCTCCACACCCCAACTCTGAGACCAGAATGAAGTAATAGAGAGTAAAAGGGCTTGGCCATGTAGACTTATGAGACAGTCTAGGAATCCTGGAGAGAGGTTTCCTGGCATATATGACCCTGGCATCCTTCACCAAAATGTGCATTTAAAGACCATTTCCTGGCTTGGCACAGTGGCTCATGCCTATAATTCCAACACTTCGAGAGGCTGAGGTAGGAGGATTGCTTCAGCCTAAGAGTTCCAGACCAGCCTGAGCAACATAGTGAGATCTCTTCTCTACAAAAAATTTTTATAAATTAGCTACTAATTTATAAAAAGCTAGGACTTCCCTGTAGTCCTAGCTACTAGGGAAGCTGAGGTTGGATCACTTGAGTCCAGGAGGTCAAGGCTGCAGTGAGCCAAGATTGCACCACTGCCCTCACTGCACTCCTAGAGCAAGACCCTGTCTCAGAAAAGAAAAAAGATAAAGACCATTTCCTAACCATACGAAATATTTTTGCCAAAATAGATAAGTATAAGGAGTTCTACTGGAGAAGGGATCCTCCTTTATCATTTCACTCATAAATTGTATTCATTCATTCCTATGTTTTATTGTTTTAATACTAATAGTGTGTGTAATACTTACATTTAAATACTCATGCAGTGTTAATTTTTTTTTTTTTTTTGAAACGGAGTTTTGCTCTTGTCGCCCAGGCTGGAGTGCAATGGCACAATCTCGGCTCACTGCAACCTCTGCCTCCCATGTTCAAGTAATTCTCCTGCCTCAGCCTCCCAAGTAGCTGGGATTACAGGCATATGCCATCACATCTAGCTAGTTTTGTATTTTTAGTAGTAGAGATGGGGTTTCACCACATTGGTGAGGGTGGTGTCAAACTTCTGACCTCAGGTGATCCTCCGGCCTCAGCCTCCCAAAGTGCTGGGATTACAGGCATGAGCCACCACGCCCAGCCAATATTCTTAAAACGACAGAGTATTGACACATTTAGTAGATATGCTGGGAAATGGCTATATTTATGCATATTTGTATCTTCATTATTCCCAAAAGTTCATTTGGTATATTGCCGTAAAATACATAAACAATATGGTTGAGAAAGAGGAGTAAATCAATCTCAAGCAATGTTGTTATCATTTCAAGTAGTGGAAACACCTGTAGTTCTGGCAAAAGGGAAAGACCGCTTCCTAGATACTGATGCTCGGATTCAGTGCTGGAATACGGGGAGCTGGAAAATGAGTTAACATTGCTAGCTCTGGGTGGAAGCAGATATGAGGTGTCATTTATTGGTTGATGGACCTCTTAGCTGTGTAGAAAAGCCATCAGTTACTGCCTAAATTACTGCCTTGCCAGTGAGATAATGGTAAATTCACAGAGTTAAACCCAGAACTTTCCAGTTTGTTTCTGCCCTGAGAAAACTGGCTCTGTGTTATTTTACGCCTCTCACCAACCCAAATACCAGAAACTTTTCCATGCTCTTCCCCTGGAATTAGTGTGAAAATGGTGAAGAAGAATAAACTGTCAGGCAGTGCTGAGACACTCCTACTGCGCTGCACATTTTGGTTGTAGTGATAGGCAGGCAGGCAGGCAGGAGCAGCGGCAGATCTCGTGTGAGCCCGGCATGGCTGTGGGCCTGGGGTTTACCCTCAGAGCCTTTCCTTGGAACTGACAACACATTCCGTTGAGCACAAGTTCCAACTCCCTCCTCCGTGCTTCACCACGTTACTGTTTGCAAACTCCACATATTCCAAAGTCTTGTTTTGGGTAAACAGCTAGGGAAAAGACATGGAAGCACTCAGCTTCTATCCCCATGCCAGGCAGCAGTCCTCATCTACACAGACTTCATCCTTCCCTGCTCCAGTGGGGAGTTGGACAGAGGACCCCCACGGCTCTTCCCAGATACCAAGGTTCAGTGATTCCAATGGTGGCTGAGATTGCACACATGAGAAAGCTGTGCTAAAGAGAAAGTTACTCGTTAAACCAGGTTACTCCAATGCTGCCCCTTTCACTAAGGAACCCCAGCCTCCACTTTTCTCCCATGCTCAAGGCCCCTAACCCTTGCCCTCCCACAAGTATCCTGACACAAATGGCACTACTCTCAGTTTCTCTCCTGAGGTTGAGTTGAAGTCTGCCCTCTTCCTTTCATCACATTTTCCTATGTCCCCTGGTCTGTCCTTGCAACTATTGGCTAAGGTGAGGTACATATGGGCAGGTACGGGAGCTGCCCAGCCACTGATGCAAAACGGGTTCAGCTGATCCTGAACATGCTAGGGTTGGCTTCTCTGTCTTCAGTATGACTTGAGAAGTCCCAGAGCAGAAGGTATTCCAATGAAAATGGAGAAAGCTTTGCTAAAAGAGGTACAGGGACACTGGTGTGGACTCTCTGTGACTGAACAGAGGTGATGCTGAGCCTGGACTGGAGCCCAAACCCAGGCTCCAACTGGACCCAGCGTGGGCCAGCCCAGCAGCTCTCTGGTTCTGCTGCTTTCCACACTTAGGGGTTCTGTTTTTCCAGACATAGAAGAAGATTGGCTGTGTTCCTGGTGGCTTTGATCTTGCTGCCTGTAGGCAGGGGCGGAGGGTGTAGGGAAGGCAGGATGAGACTCCTGTGTGGGTGTGTGGGGGCACAGGGTGAGTCTCCAGCATGAGCGTGAGACCAACGTGGGGTGGGGCTGGACGGGTTGTTCTGGGTGTGAGCTGTGCTGCAGTGTGGCCTCAGCCTGCTCTCTCCTCCCACCTCTCCTCCCTTAGCCTCTCTGTCTCACCCCACAAATCTCCCTCCTTGCTGGCACTGCAAATGAAATGCATGGAAGAGGTGCTGTCAGCAGCAGCATCTAAATGGCCAGGAGCAGCCTCAGATCCCAGACCTAGGACTCCCAGGCTTCACTGTCAAGTACACAGGAGAACAGGCCACATCAGCTGCAGCACTGCCCTCTTCTGCTAAATGCCTCCATCATCATTGCCCTCTCCATTCCCAGGGCTCTTCAAAGGCCTGGGGGTTATCATGCTTCCTTCATGCTGTGCCTTTTCTCCACATTCGTTTCTTCATTCATCCAACGAATCACTTTCTTACATAAACTGTGAGGGATAAAAGTTGTTGAGAACATAGTCCCTGGCATCCAGGGGTTTGGTGTCTGATGAAAAAGATAGACATATAAACAATTACTGCAAGGACATAGGAGCCCTGCTACAAGCCTGCTGGAGGTACTGTGGGAATGCGGGAGGGGAGGGGCCGGGCTCTGCCTGTGGGGTGGGAAAGACAAAACAGCAACACAATTCCAGGCGCATCTCGGATGCCCGGAAGCGGCTGCCAGCATGAAGACAGAGGAGGGTATAAATGTCACACAGGTGAGAGAGGAGGAACGGAGCTGTGCTGGTGCCTGTCATCGCTCAACAAGCTCTCTTATGATTCCCCCTGTAATTCCACCTCTACTCCCACCCCCCCAGCATCCCTGGTCCTGGCTGTGAGCTACACTTAGAAAGGCCCTGTATTTCCAAACTGTGGGCCATCATTTGGGGTCATTTTAGGTTTGTGCTCCTAGCAGCAGTATGTCTAAATCACGTAAGTTGTGATCCCACTGAAGTCCCTCTGGCCTGCACCCATAAAAAGTGTGTTCATTGCTGGCTATCTGTTTGAGTGGGACATTGAACAAAAGGCTATGTATAAAGATATTCCTCCCAGAATTACCTATGATAGCAAAAATGTGAAGCAACCAAAATGTCCAAAAACAGGTAAATGGGAGACTGGCTTAATAACTTAGAGTATATTGCTGTGATGTAACAGTATGCAACCCTCTAAGAACTGGGCTAAAGAATTTTGAGTGCTATAGGGAGTATGATACAGAATTAGTATAAACTCAATTATGTTAAATATATACTCTCTCTATGTATATGCGTGTGTGTGTGTATGTGTGCATGTGCGTGTGCGTGTGCGTGTGCGTGTGTGTGTGTGTGTGTAGAAAAATAGAAAGGCCCAGCATGGTGGCTCACACCTGTATTGCCAGAACTTTGGGAAGCCAAGGTAGGCGGATCACTCGAGGTCAGGAATTCAAGACCAGCCTGACCAACGTGTCGAAACCCTGTTTTACTAAATATTAGCCGGGCGTGGTGGCATTTGCCTATAATCCCAGCTACTTGGGAGTCTGAGGCAGGAGAATCGCCTGAACTCGGGAGGGGGAGGTTGCAGTAAGCCAAGAGTGTGCCACTGCACTCCAGCCTGGGCAACAGAGCGAAACTATGTCTCAAAGTAAATAAATATATAAATAAGAAAAAAGGAAGGAAATACACGAAAATGTGAAGTGTGGTTATGAGCAATTTTAATTTGCTTTTACATTTTTATGTATTTTCCAAAGATTTGCTAATAAGCATATTTTACTTGTATGAGTCAAAACAAAAACAGGGATGGTGTTCACTTTTGTTTTTAAATGTGGATTGAGCATATTGAGCAAAGTGACAAGGATGGTCAGATGCTTAGACACTGTGTCATTAGACTATCTGAAGGAAGACGTGGTGATTTTCCTTTTTATAACTCCATTAGCTATGGTTCAAAGGAAGTCCCATGGCTAATGGAGAAGTCTGGTTCTGTGTTTCTTGAGAGTACAAAACTGTAAATGACAAAGAGTATACCATCACGTGGGTGGTAGCTACTAGGAAAAGAGGCCATCAACAGCACGGCCTAACAACCCCATGGCCGTGTCCAGAGGCCCTGAGCACCCTGACCCTAGGAGCGTCCTGCAGAGATTATGTGGGAGCTATCTCTAAGAGTTTCTAAGAGGGGCCCTCCAACTCTAGCACTTGGTGATTTTTTTCAATACAGATCTTTTGCTGGCCATCCTGATCATGCAAGCCTGCTCATTCTCCATCATCTATCACTCACTGATACAACACTCTCATCAGTTAATAGCTGCTTCCCGTCTTTATATATAAAGACAGCAGCCATCGAGGGGATGACAGCCTATCTACAGGATATCCAAGAGGAAGTAGACAGTCAGGAGGAGAAAGGGAGTAAAAGCCAGAAGCAAGTTATTTGTGGGCCCTGGCTTTTCCTTGCCATTGTTCAGACAAGCCCAGTCGTGACTCAGAATAGTGGAACCAGTCACTGGCCTCTCAACTCATCAGTGCATATCTATTGATCCTCTTGTTGTGCTCAGGGCTCAACGATCAGTGTGTGGGCAACAGTAAGGTATTTAGGAGGAGGTGCTGGCCCCCAGGTAACTTACCAATAAGAGCAGAATACAAGTGGCTGGGTGCAGTGGCTCATACATGATCCCAGCGCTTTGGGAGACCAAGGTGGGCAGATCACCTGAGATCAGGAGTTCGAGACAAGCCTGGCCAACATGGTGAAACCCCATCTCTACTAAAAATAGAAAAAATTAGCCAGGTGCGGTGGTATGTGCCTGTAGTCTCAGCTACTCAGGAGGCTGGGGAAGGATAATTGCTTGAACCTGGGAACGGGAGGTTGTGGTGAGCTGAGATTGCACCACTACACTCCAGCCTGGGCAACAGAGCAAGACTTTGTCTCAAAAAAAAAAAAACAAAAACAAACAAACAAAAAAAACCAAACAGAGAGAGACAGAGAGAGAGTAGAAATCAAGCATGTAAAGGGCAGAGCTGGGGGAGAAGGGCAAAATAAGAGGACCAGAAATGTTGAATGCGTCACAACACCATGGCCCTAACTGTGCTGAAGTTGGAGGGTGGGGGCCTCCAAGGGAGAACACAGTGGATTTAGGACTAGAAAGACAAGATGGAGCATTAGAAAGGTATTCCTGGCTGGCGCTGTAGTTTGCTCAAAGACGTGGTGAGGGCTGGGTGCAGTGGCTCACACCTAGAATCCCAGTGCTTTGGGAGGTTAAGATGGGAGGATCACTTGAGGTCAGGAGTTTGAGACCACCCTGGGCCACATAGTGAGACACTATCTCTACAAAAACAATTTAAAAATTAGCTAGGTGTGGTGGTGCACGCCTGTAGTCCCAGCTACTTAGAAGGCTGAGGCAGGAGGATTGCTTGAGCCCAGGAGTTTGAGGCTACAGTGAGCCGTAATCATTCCATTTCACTCCAGCTTGTGTGACAGAGCAGGATCCTGTCTCTAAAAATAATAACAATAAAAGAAAATTAGCTGAGCATGGTGTTGCATGCTTGTAGTCTTAGCTATTCAGAAGACTGAGGTAGGAGAATCACTTGAGCCCAGGAGTTTGAGGCTATAGAATGCTATGATCATAACAGTGCACTCTAGCCTCAGCAACAGAGTGAGATCCTGTCTTCAAAAAAAAAAAAAAAAGGCGCAATGAGAACACACAGCATCTCAATGTGGCGTGGCACGATGTTGCTAGAATGGAAGGGTGGTGGAGTTTACAATGGGAAAGGGAGTTGGAATGAGAGGCTGGAGTCAAGTTAGGGAGTCTGGACTTGTTCCTGGGGTGTTTGAGAGTCAGTGAGGATTTCTGAGCACAAGAGGACATTGATCTGCAGCAGTGATAAGAAAGATGAATGAGAGACTGGAGAGACACAAGCCTAGGATTCCTGGAAGAGACTATTGGAAAAGACGCTGGAGCTCTGAACTAGAGCACTCTTAGTAGGAGTGGGAGTAAGATCACGGGCTCCAGAGACATTCTGGAGATAGAGTTGGCTAAATTTACAACTGAGAAGGACTGGAGGACAGGAGGAAGGAGAGGAAAAGAAAACTTGGGTGTTGCCGGGCACGGTGGCTTGCGTCTGTAATCCCAGCACTTTGGGAGGATGAGGCAGGCGGATCACAAGGTCAGGAGTTTGAGACCAGCCCGGCCAATATGGTGAAACCCCATCTCCACTAAAAATACAAAAATTAGCTGGGCGTGGTGGCAGGCACCTGTAGTCCCAGCTACTCGGGAGGCTGAGGCAGGAGAATCGCTTGAACTCAGGAGGCGGAGGTTGTAGTGAGCTGAGATCGCGCCACTGCACTCCAGCCTGGGTGACAGCGGGAGACTCTGCCTCAAAAAAAAAGCAATGGCACACATTTAAAAAAAAAAAAAAAAAAAAACTTGGCTGTTGTTGTTGAAGATACCGTGGCCCTACCTTTTGCAGACTGCCATATGCATGCCTCAACACTGGGAGCTTCCCTGGGCTCCATCTTCCTTTGCCTCATAGCTCTGGCTGCTTAGTCTCTGGGTTTTCCCTGTCTTAGTGACTGAGCTACTTCACTTCTGGCCCCGGCACACGATCACAGTGTTGAACTGTTCTCTCTCAAGGAACACTCCTGTCCCTTCCAGCCCGGCTGCCATCTCCTTGATGAAAGACCCAGGGCACATGTTGGTTGCCCAGCAGGCATATGCCTGTCAAAACACTAGACTGATTTGTTTGGCTTCACGGTCTTGACTGGTAACCTGACCTCCCTCCCTCCCTCCCTCCCCTGCAGAGATCTCACCTCTGAGGACCAGATCGTGCTGCTGAAGTCAAGCGCCATTGAGGTCATCATGCTGCGCTCCAATGAGTCCTTCACCACAGACGACATGTCCTGGACCTGCGGCAAACAAGACTACAAGTACCGTGTCAGCGACGTGACCAAAGGTATGCCTGGACTGCACCTCTGCCTCTTCCAGCTCCCAGACTGTGGCTCCACCCGTCCTGGGGTTTGGGCTCCAATCAGACACATGGGAGGGAGCTGAAGGGAGAGAAGGGCAAGGGTCGGGGCCATCCGGGTTGGAGGTGGGTGGATGGCTCCTCAGCTCTGCCCATAGTACCTGGCCATTTTGTCTCACAGCAGGATACAACCTGGAGCTGATTGAGCCCCTCCTCAAGTTCCAGGTAGGGCTGAAGAAGCTGAACTTGCATGAGGAGGAGCATGTCCTGCTCATGGCCATCTGCATCGTTTCCCCAGGTATGGGGCCCCGCAGGGAGGAGCTCGGGGACCTGGGGAGTGGGGAGTGTGAGGGACTGCTGAGGGCCAGCTGGGCCACCTGAAGGGAGAAGTAGCAAAAGGAGAGCAGAGAGGGAAAGGCCTATTTTGCTGGTTTCCAGCACCCCTGTGGTGTGTGGATGTTGAGGAGCCCCTCGCTGCCCTTGGCTTTGCCTTACAGAGTTTGCAGGTAGGATTCTGAGGAACTAGGGGGGATTCATAGGGGAGATTCTGAGGAACTAGATAAGCAGGGTTCCACAAGCCACAGATGAGCCTGCGTGTTCCCGATACTCAGGCTCTACTCTTGTGTGAACCGGGCTCAACATTGCTGTTATCTGAGGTTTCTCAGGGGCAGGGTACAAAACCCTGGAGTCTGATAGATGGTTCTGCCTAGACAGTTTTCCTGATTGATTTTGGAGGCAGTGTGCTGTGACCCTTGATCTCTTCTGCTTATTAGAGGTGAGAAGAGGGAGAAAAGGCTGAAGAGGAAGTTATTGTAACCTTGGGGACGTTATGTTGGTGACGAGGTCCAATGAGGGGCGGCCCTGCCTCAGCCTGTGCTGTGTTCAGGGGACAAGCTAGTGGCCTCTGCCCAGGGATGCTTTCCTGGACTGGAGGCTCAAGAATGGAGGGGGACTCCACTACCCCTGCCCAGCCAGCCTTCACTCACTCATTCATTCATCCACTTAGCAACAGTTTATTGAGCACCCATTAGGTACCAGGCTCTGTGCTAGGTACTGGGATTCAGCAGCAAACAGGACACAGGCCCCTCTCCCATGAAGCTTAGGAGGAAACATTAAACAAATGCTATTTAACAACTAATTCCTAACATGGCATGGATTTTTCAAATAAAGGAAGTGATACTACAGAAGGGTAGACCAGAAGGAGGGAAGCTGACGTGATCTGGGCCATGGAGGTAGTGTGGCCAGGAATGGCCTTTTGGAGGAAGACCTTTTAAGCTGTTACCTGAAGGATTAGTAGGAGTCCGGCAAAGATAACAGAGCAGAGTTCCAAGCAGATGTGAAGGCTGGTGGCCAGAGAGCACGGTACATCAGGAGGCTGAGGGTGGATGGAGCATGGACAGGGAACGAGGCCAGGCAGGGCCAGGACCAGGTGGGCCCATGAAAGGACCTGGGACTAGATCCTAAATGCAAGGAGAAGCTGCTGAAGGGCTTTGGGGCCAGGCGGTGGTATCACCGGTCAGCAGCCACAGAGGGGTGGCCTAGAGGGAGCTGCCATTGCATGTCTGTGTGGGTGCGGGGTGGCAGGACTGAGCAGTGAAGGGCCCAGCTCAGACCTGCTATGCCTTCTCCTCTACCTTGTGCCCACAGATCGTCCTGGGGTGCAGGACGCTGCGCTGATTGAGGCCATCCAGGACAGGCTGTCCAACACGCTACAGACCTATATCCGCTGCCGCCACCCGCCCCCAGGCAGCCACCTGCTCTACGCCAAGATGATCCAGAAGCTGGCCGACCTGCGCAGCCTCAACGAGGAGCACTCCAAGCAGTACCGCTGCCTTTCCTTCCAGCCCGAGTGCAGCATGAAGCTCACGCCCCTTGTGCTGGAGGTGTTTGGCAGTGAGATCTCCTGACTAGGGCAGCCCATGGTGGTGCCTGGGTGGAGCCGCTCCTCCAGGGCCATGTGCTGGGCCCGGGACTGGCAACTCCTCAGCAGTGCTCCTCACCCCCGTCTGGGGTTCAGCCCCACCTCGGGTACCGCCTCTGTCCACCCGGCCCATTCTCTCTCCTGTCCAACCCAACCCCTTTCCTACAGGCCTTTCACTGGTCCCTTGAGACCTCAGCCATGAGCAGTTGTTGTCTATTTGACAAAGAAACTCAAGTGGCGGCAGAGGGCAGAGGCTGGAGGCAGGGCCTTGCCCAGAGACGCCCTCACCCCTGCATAAGTGGCTACTGACTGGTGTCAAGGGAACAGGCAGGAGAAATGCATGCATTCCTCAGGGACACAGACACCTGCACCTTCCTCCACTCCAGGCCCCCGCGTCCAGAGCCTAGTGGGATCTCCCTCTTCTGCCTACTCATGATAAATAATCGACCCACAGCTCCCACCCACCGTAACCTTCAATGCCCACTGTCGTCCCATTGCCCTGGTTATACTCTCACGGGCAGTAGCTGTGGTGAGGTGGGCTTTCTTCCCGTTACTGGAGCCCCAGGCACAAACCCACCAGCTGAGAGACCCAAGGAGGAAAAACAGACAAAAGCAGCCTCACAGAGGAATAGTGATGGTGGCCACAACTGTCCCTTTCACTAAGCCACGTTTCCTCGGCCTGGATCTAAGGGGTTGGTTGAGGTGGAAGTCCTCCTTCCACGGATCCATGTAGCAGGACTGAATTGTCCCCGGCTTGCAGAAAAGCACCTGCCATCCTCGTCCTCCCCCTGCCAGTGCCTTACCTCCCACCAGGAGAGCCAGCCCTCCCCTCTTCCTTGGCTGTTCTCCTCACCCCCTCCCCACTCCCGGTCTGGAGAAGCAGTGAGCCGCACGCATCTTCTCCATCTGGCAGAGTGGGAAGTAGGAGAAGAGCTGTCAGACCCCAGTGGGTGAATCATGCTGTCCATGCTGCCTGGATGTGGTTCCAAGGCTGCTGTCAGCCCCCAGGACCAGGAGCTAGTGCTCCCACACCCCAGGCTATGGGAAGGGAGAGTAGGGCAGCCTCTGGCGGCTAGTCAGAGAAAGCGTTTGGGGGTTCCGTGATGTAGGGCAGGCTCCCTTCATATTCTCGCTTCACCACCCAAAAGTCAAAAGAAGGCTGTGAGGCGGGGGCGCAGTGATTCCACTTCCAGTGCGTGCTCTCCTCTGCAGCCAGCCCAGCGAAGTGGGTGGGGCCCTTGGGAGAATCAGCTTCGGGACCAGAGAAGGGCGTGCTTTCAGGTGGATCACAGAGGCTTCTTCAGATCAGTGCTTGAGTTTGGGGAACATGGCTGCGTTTGCTGTGTCACCAGGAATGTAAAAGTCAGTGGGAACATGACTGCCCAACTCCTGGAAGCCGTGTCCTTCCACCTGCATCCGTTGTTCCCTGAAAACCCAGGGAGGAATCAGGCTTTACACTGCAAGAGCCTCGGTGTCCACCTGGCCCTGTGTCTCTCAGAATTCTTCAGGTGGAAAAACATCTGAAAGCCACGTTCCTTATTGCAGAAGAGCATGTATATCGCCTAATCTTAAATTTATTAGATATGAGTTGCTTTCAGAATCAGACTCCATTTGTACTATATTCTAATATACAGGGGAGCAGGTAGCACTGATTTGGAAATATTCCTGGGGGGAGAACTTACATTGTGAAACTTCTGTACACTAATTAATATTGTTGTTGTTATTTTACAAAAGAGAGACCCTTGTTTGATTTTAGCTGTAGAACACATTAGGCCAGCTTGCTCTTCAGTGGGAGAAAACACTTGAAGGTTGCTAAACCACTCAATCTCCTCGTTAAGAAAAACTGACAGAGGAGAGCGTGACTCACCGGCGAGTACATAACTAGTTAGAAGTGGACCAAGACAGAACCAGACTGGACTCATCGTCTGGTGTCCATTTCACTACACCACGTTTGAGCCCAGACCCCTGTTCTCATTCCCCAAGTGACTGACCCAGTCCCTGGGGAAGCCCTGGATTTCAGACAGAGCAAGTCTGGGTCTGGGACCCCTTCCTTCCTTCCCTGACTTGTAACTCCACCAACTCATCAGAAGGAGAAGGAAGGAGACTCTCAGTGTGAATCAGACCCCGCCCCACCACAGCGTGGCCCTGGCCCTCCGCCTCAGCCTCGTGTCATGCTGTTGCCTTATCTATAACGTGCATTTGTCTTTGGAATTTGCCACCTTCCCGGCTCTTCCTCTGGCCCTGCCTTCTCCAGGGTACTCCTGGGAATATCAGTTACCCAGCCCTGGGGCCCACAACCTAGGCCGCTCCGCAAAGGAAGTCTAGGAGCTGGGAGGAAAAGAAAAGAGGGAAAAACGAGTTTTCATGGGGAGGAACTGGGAGGAAAGTCACCTTCGATTCTATTTTAGAATCAGAGTGTGAAAATAGACATTTATAAATGTAAAACCTTTAAGGTATATCATTATAACTGAAGGAGAGTGTGCACCAACACGTAAGATTTCCAGGGCCGGGCGCGGTGGCTCAAGCCTGTAATCCCAGCACTTTGGGAGGCCGAGGTGGGTGGATCACAAGGTCAAGAGATCAAGACCATCCTGGTCAACATGGTGAAACCCCGTCTCTACTAAAAATACAAAAAGCAGCTGGGCATGGTGGCTCGTGCCTGTAATCCCAGCTACTCAGGAGGCTGAGGCAGGAGAATTGCCTGAACCCAGGAGACGGAGGTTGCGGTGAGCCGAGATTGCGCCATTGCACTCCAGCCTGGGTAACAAGAGCGAAACTCCGTCTCAAAAAAAAAAAAAAAAAAAAAAAGATTTCCTACGAGATTTCCAGAGACAGGAAAATCCTCCGCTGGCTAACTGAAAGCGTGCAGGAGAGTCCAAGTGAGGCCAACAGAGAAGGCAGGAACATGCGGCAGATTTGGTGACAGCTAGAGATACGGCAGTGAAAGGAGGATATAAAGAGTGCCTGCTGAATAATTTCCAAAGAGATCAAAAGTTTGCCAGAACTTTGTGAGGTCAACTAATGTAGAAAGCTTTGCTTATGGTAATAAAAAGGACTCATATAGCACTTACTTTGTTGCAAGTACTGCTGTAAATAAATGCTTTATGCAAACCAATCTGCCTTATCCTTATAAGAATCCTATGGGAGCCGGGCGCGGTGGCTCAAGCCTCTAATCCCAGCACTTTGGGAGGCCGAGGCGGGTGGATCACGAGGTCAAGAGATCGAGACCATCCTGGTCAACAAGGTGAAACCCTGTCTCTACTAAAAATACAAAAATTAGCTGGGCATGATGGTGCATGCCTGTAGTCCCAGCTACTCGGGAGGCTGAGGCCGGAGAATTGCTTGAACCCAGGAGGCGGAGGTTGCTGTGAGCCGAGATCGTGCCATTGCACTCCAGCCTGGGCAACAACAGCAAAACTCCGTCTCAAAAAATAAATAAATAAATAAATAAATAAAAAAGAATCCTATGGGAGATGAACCATTATTACCCCCCATTTGACAGAGGGGATTAACTTGCCCAAAGCCACACTGGCAAGAGATGGGACTTGAACCTTCGGCATCTAGCTTCAGAAACCACAAATTAACTACTGCATTGTCCTGCTTCCTACTGAGTTGGGGGACCTGACAGGTGACTGATGATCTTGCTAGCTCTCTCCTAGAGAGGAGATAAAAGAGGTTCCCCATCCCAAAGCAGTCCCTGAGCCAGGAAAATTAGGGGTGCTGGATCAAACTGTGCTCTGCTCCCAGGAAGTGTGCAGTCAATATGTGACAGCTGCATGAGAACCTCAAAAATGAAGACCGAGCAGCTATTGGCAAAAATGTGTCTGCTATTAGAGATGGTGGCTGTGCCAGTGACCTGGAGGATTACAAATGACTGCTGTGCAGAAACAGGACTCCTGCTGGCTGGGCGCCGTGGCTCACACCTGTAATCCCAGCACTTTGGGAGGCCAAGGTGGGCAGATCACAAGGTCAAGAGATTGAGACCATCCTGGCCAACATTGTGAAACCCCGTCTCTCCCAAAAAAATACAAAAATTAGCTGGGCGTAATGGCACGAGCCTGTAGTCCCAGCTACTCGGGAGGCTGAGGCAGGAGAACTGCTTGAACCCGGGAGGCAGAAGTTGCAGTGAGCTAAGATCATGCCGCTACACTCCACACAGCCTGAGTGACAGTGTGAGACTCCATAAAAAAGAAAGAAAGAAAAAGAAAGAAAGAAAGAGAGAGAGAGAGAAAGAAAGAGCACTCCTAAGGAGCCAATGCACTCTGCTCTGCTTCCCAAAGAAGTGGGGTTTATGATGAAGGGTAGCGTTGCTAGGCACAGTAAACAAGAATAACCAACCAAGGACACAGCACTGGGATCTGAAAATAAGGAAACCATGCCAACTGATGTATTGATTTAGGATAAGTTGACCTGGGGGTGTGATTCACTCAAATTTTTCAGAAACATCTGAAAATATTTCCGACCAAAGGCTAAAACGTGTTGCAGTGAAATGGGATGGAGAGAGGGGAGCTGGCATTAGAACTTGAGGGATATTTTGTGAAACATGAAGAGACTTAGAGAAAGGAAATCAACAGCTGCATAAATGGGCATGTCTCTGGCGGGAGAAATGTGGAGAATGGAGTTCTGATACACTGTTAGGGGAAGTTTATGCAGCGTTTTTATAGCTGACCAAGCAGAACACAGAATTTCCAAGGCTGTGTTATAATAAACTTTTCCAGGTAAACCAAGGGGAATATACCCCAGGAATATTGCATAATTAGGATCAAGTGATTTTAAGCTTTCACATTCCAAGCTTTGGTTCTATACCTGCACTGTTCAATAAAGCAGCCACTAGTTATGTGTGACTATTTAAATGAAATAAAAGTAAACATGTAGCTTCTCAACTGTACAAGCTGCAGTTTCAGTGTTTGATAACCTCGGGGCTACCATAACGGACAGTGCAGACACAGAACATTTTCCTTCTTCTTTCTTTCTTTCTTTCTTTCTTTCTTTCTTTCTTTCTTTCTTTCCTTCCTTCCTTCCTTCCTTCCTTCCTTCCTTCCTTCCTTCCTTCCTTCCTTCCTTCTTTCTTTCTTTCTTTCTCTCTCTCTCTCTCTCTCTCTCTCTCTCTTTCTTTCTTTTTGCGACGGAGTCTTGCTCTGTCACTCAGGCTGGAATGCAGTGGCATGATCTCGGCTTACTGCAACCTCCGCCTCCCAGGTTCAAACCATCTTCCTGCCTCAGCCTCTGGAGTATATGGGATTACAGGCACCCGCCACCATGCATGGCTAATTTTTGTATTTTTAGTATAGACAGGGTTTCACCATATTGTCCATGCTGGTCTCGAACTCCTGACTTTAAGTGATCTGCCTGCCTAAGCCTTCCAAAGTGCTGGGATTAAAGGCATGAAATTTTCATCATCACAGAATAGTCTATGGGGCAGCACTGGTCTACACAATGCATTCTTATCTGGTACTAACAGTGAATGACTCCATGAGGATGCTGGCCCATTATGCTTCAGTTGATCTTTTGGGCAGGATGGCCACTAACCTGAACATCTTCCCCTTATAGGGGGTTGTGCTGCACCTGGGGCAGTGTGAACGAGTCTGCTCCTTAAAAGAGACATAAAGCAGCAAAAACACTGCACAGGCCATGGGGCTGATAGGCTCAAAGCATCATGTGGTATAAGTGGGTCACTGGTGTGCTAGGAAGTATTGGTTCCTTCAGCCCTGGAGAAAGCAAACAGGGCCTGCTGGGGGTGGCCAGAGCCCTTCAGTTTCCCCAGCTTCTACCAGACTCCTCGCAGGCTGCCTGTGCAGTGTGGGTCGGTTGGTCTGCCTGCCCCATGGCCCCTGCAGACGGCAAGAAGGTTGGATGTTATCTGACACCTCCAGCGTGGCCAAGGAGATGGCTCATGCTGCTGACATCCTATAGGCAACTAGTTCTCATTGTGCGCAGGGAGCCCATGAGGCTGACGGCGAGTCTGTACTCCTCGAGACCCAGAAGCACAGCAGGGTGTGCAGGCTGTGGCTGGCAGGGAGAATCTGAGAGCTCGCTGCTCTAGACAGCTGCTCCGAATCTCTGTACGCACACATGTCATAGATGATATACAGGATGGTGTCGTAAGTTGGGTTCCAGGGACCTAGACTCTGAAATGCAGGTTGAAGTACAGGGTGTTTGTTGGGGAGCAGTCTCAGGATTCTCAGCCCTGGTGGATGGAAAAGAGTAGAATCAGCAGTAGGAGAAGTTGGCTGTAATGCAGTCTCAACGAAAGTCTCCATCAACCCGTGTGGGGATCTCTGAAGCTGAGATGTCCTTTTGGCTTACCCCAAGATGAAGCGAGGAAGACGCTTGTATATTTCTGCATCAGGCAGTCATTGGATACTAGCTGTTTCCTGAAGAACGTGTGAGCTCATTGACATGACCTCAGCTAGGCGGCTCCTTTCAGCCTGGGGCCCACAGGACATGTCCATAGGGGGTGTTTTCTTCACATTTTGTACAACCTGGTGAGAGCTTCTGGAGTGAGCTGCTCTGACTTGGGGAGACGCTGGAAGAGTTCCAGGCCCTTCCCTGTGGCTCTCTTCAAGGAGAGTGTTCTCTCCCACGAGGGTATTCCCAGCCTCCCCTCTGCTATGTATTAGCCAGGTATTTTTCCTAAGTCATCTTGAGCTTCACCACTAGGTGGTGCTACTGCCCTATGGGGATAGGTTTGAGCTACTTGCCTGGCCTCCCTGCCCCCTAGCCCCCAA